TATATATATATATATATATCAGTTTGAATACATTACTTAATTTTTAGCTTCTTAAAATAATTTAATTATCTTAAAATAGCTTTTATTTTATTATTCATGTCAAAAACAAACTGATAAAAAAATAGTAAGGAATAAAAAAATACTAAAAGATGTTAGAGATCCAGAGTTTTTTTTTACAACTAAAACCAAAACCATATTTGAATATAACTAAAGCATTTTTAAGCCCTAAAATAATTTACCGTTTAATTCTTTCGATGAAAAACTTGGATTTTAAACGAAGCATGAACTGCCATTTTTCTTAGGTAGGTGGAAAGTGAGGGATGAAACAAATTATTCGCATTTGAGGTCACTAATCGACTTTCATTGTTAATGTAGATGTTGAGTGCAACACAATCAATTCAGATGATTATACAGTCGTAGTTCTGGGATAAGCTCAAAAGGAAAGATGCCAACAACATCAAACTGCATTTAAATACAACTAACTTCAAAATTTTATTTTACTTAGCTACGTTCACTCGTAGGACAGAAAAACTCTAAGCCGCCACGAAAAAGCCTCCGACTTGTGCATTTCAGTCCTTACTTTTTGGGTATATTTCTCCAACGTATGTTCATACTCATTTATAGTATCACAAGAAATTGTATCTTCCGCTAATCTTACTGCTGCCATCTGAGACAATTGAAAGTTTTCCCCCGTTTGCTGTAGCTTCCTACATGTTTCACCCTCACCAAACATCATAAGGGCAACCAACAAAGTTTTCAGCTCACGTCTAGCTTCAACTGTCAGAGACATGCCTTTCAAATGATCCACCAAGGCCATCTCCTCATCAGGACTGCAATATGGAACACAAAACTATTATTTCAATAGTAAGAGGTGACTAATGAATAATGAATAGTAGTACAGGAAGAGGGGCAGAGGGAAACGAGAAATTCTCGCGTCAAGATACCTCCCAGGACGGATTTTTCCTCTTTTCCTCTGACGCCTAGTGTCTCTTGCCTTGCTAGTTGCAGCTGAGCTAATCGAAGCAGCAGAACTTTTCCTGGTCCTGTTGATGAAATTAGGGAAACAATGAAGCTTCACAGTTCACACATCAAAAGTACAACGTAAGAAACAAGTATAATAATGTCAAAAGTGCTGCTACCTTGGATATTATTTTCAACGAGAAGAAAAATAAGCATGGTTCAATTTTATCATTTAGTTAATGAAATAGGAAGGGTTTGGCTATTTTTTCACATTTCACATTTAAGAAAATGAGTCATAAAAGTAACTCAATTATGGACACAATTGCTGATCAGGTCAAATAATATGGAGCATTACAGAGACAGAGAGAGAGAGAGAGAGAGAGATTGTAACTATGCTTTTTTACAACTGTAGTCTGTGCCTCATAATTTTTGTTGTAAATGCATCTAACAGTGATATACTAATATGCTTTTTGAACTTCGATTTTATGCCGTTCTACATGAAGACAAAATAAATTCATTGGCCACAAAAAATAATGAGGTACAGACTACAGTTGTAAAAAGCATTATAGTATATCACTGCTAGATTTTTGCAGAAGAATTGAAAACAGTATATTCATTTAATGCATGAAAGATTAATGGAAAGAGCATCATGTCTAATTGGTTATGTTCAAATGGAGAAATTCATCCTCACAGTCAATAAAAACCAATTCAGAATATCTACACAAAGTGAATTTAATTGATGTTCTACAACTGGCAAATTATATAGACAGATAAATGGGATCGAAGAAAATTACATACCCTGTGGTGTATGCACTCATTCCACTAAAATTACTGCTAGTTTCTGAAGCAGCATCATCATCAAGGTCACTTGCTGCAAGTTCCTCTGACCGGAGCTTTGCTGCAAGAAGCAATCTTCTCTGTCGAACCGCCAGGTATCGAGCCAAGTACTTCCCCACTTTCTCCAAGCCTTCCTCATATTCACCACTAAGTGAGCTTGCACATTCCACAGATGCGTTCTTCACTGTTTTTATTAAGTCCTCTCTTCTATGCATAAAAACAACCCTCAAAGCCTCCTCCCACTCCCTTGCAGAAATCAACAAATTCACACCAGTGTTAACATCTCCACAATACTCCAGGGCAATTTTGGCAGCCTCCCCAGGTTTACCAAGTGCTTGAAGTTCTTCACAGATCTCACTGGCAAGATTCAGTATCTCATCCTTTTCCAGATTAAGGAACCCAGCAACAGTAAGCACCCCACTCCAGTTACTAATTGCACGATAAGACTTCAGA